AGATATAATTAATTAGTTAAAAAGAATCGATGTATTACACTATAGGTCGATTAAACACTCAAATTCTTATCAACAATAAGAAGTCGTACAGTAAATTGAGCAATGTAATTATATTATGTGTCAGATTTATTAGGCAAAGTTTCTCTTAATGTTCAATAAAGTCTATTTTTAGTTTCAAAGTAGTTCAATGATAATCATTATAAATTGTTTCGAGCAATCATTCTATAATAAGCACCACGTTGTTGTGTCAATTCTGTATGAGTACCACTCTCCACTATATGTCCTCTATGAAGTACACAAATCAAATCACATGAACGAATAGTTGAAAGACGATGAGCAATAACGAGTGATGTTCGACTAGAATCTTCTGGTTGAGCTTGTTCAAGAGCTTCTTGTACAATCTATAATTGAAAAATGAAGATGAAATTTTAATTGATAAGTAGAAAATAAAACAAACTTACTTGTTCATTATACGAATCCATGGCACTTGTAGGTTCATCTAAGAGCAATACTTTAGGTCGATGAAGAAGAACTCGAGCAATAACAATACATTGGTTTTCACCACCTGACAGAAAACTTCCTTTCAGTCCTACTTTTGTTTCATAACCCTGGAAAAAAATATCATACATAGTAATAGATACATGATATAATTTTGTATCGTTTAACCTGAGATAATTGCTCAATAAATTGATGAATAGGGTGTGGAGTGTGGATGTGCTGATGTGAATTTGCATATGATCAGATTTTCTTGTCAAGAACATACCTACACCTATACCCCACCCCGTATACCGACACTCACACCCACACTCATATCCCATACTCTCTGACTTCTCAAAAATAGATATCTACTAAAATAGTTATTGGTGACATATAATTTGAGTGGTTTTTTACCAAGAAAATTGATAAATAAAGAGTAGCGTTAACTTGACATTCCCACTTTAGTTTCAGCAACAGTACTTCACGTTATTACGTCTCATGAAAAAGTCATTTGCACAATTATGTCTCTTTCTTTTTTTAGACATATAATCGAAGTGATAGTACTGTTATTGACTTATTAAAAATACAAGGTACTAAACAAAATATGGTGAAATATGCCTTGAAGTTAATTGATGTATTATTTATGAGTAAACAAGAGTTTCAAGATGTTAATATTAAAAAAGCAGATGAAAATCTGAGAATTATGGCAATACATAGTAAGAAATGTTTTAGGAAAAGCTTTCATTGATCGTATATCTTGTTTTTGTTGTTTCAGATGCAATCAAGTATAAGTTTGGGTATTCAACTGAAGATATGTCAATCATTTGGCCGCTTATTCACGACTCGATTTTAAGTAAACGAAGAAACCAACAGAAAAACTTACATACAAAAACTAGCACAAGTGTAATATAATCACTTTTTATTCATTGGTTTATCGATATCTTCTCTTTTACTTGCTTCATAGATACACCGAATCGAACACCTTCGTTACTATAGACACAGTCAGCAACGATATAATTGTTGCAAATTCGGTACAAATACAACACATAAATTATAGGACTTCATTTGATGACAATAACGAAACATTATTCATACACATGTAACCATTTTTTTTTTGTTCTACTCAAGTTCTTTTTTTGTTGTATGAACTTAAAGCTATTTTGTATGTACATTATTGTGTGTTATCATATTGTTGGTATTTTATATGTACGTAACTTTCTATTCATACTTTTGTTGCATAAAGAAACACTAGGATATAGTAATCAATAATTTGCCCATAAAGATGCATCAACAATATGAAAAGGAAAGAACGGTTATACAGCATTCCAATGATTCACCAATTAATATCTAAAAGCATAATTGATTAATCGCGCTTTTCTATGAAAATTGAGGAAAAAATCGGCAAAAATCACCAGTTTAGACGATTAATCGGGTTAATAAATCGCGATAAAATCAGCGATTTTTGCGCGATTTTGACGACATGGGAAGTATACTCTGTGATGTAATATCCCATCAGATTCGTCCATAAACCAATGGGGAATAGGAAACAAGATTGTAGGAAGAACAAAAAAGTCAATGGACGAATACGACCAAAATTATCTAGTATACATTGTATATTCTTATTAGCAAAGAAGCCAATAAAGCAAGGAGATGAAGGCAAGAAATAAAAACAATGTCATCATCACCTTCTATATATGCTAAAAGACGACAATGACAGCTTATGTTACTTAATCGAAGAGAAATTCTCGTTTGTTTCATGACCTTGTATCGTTTTCTGCATCCAATTCTGAATAATAAATAAAAACTACAACATTAGATAATCGTAAGACAAAAACTTTTTTCCTTCTATCCTTATTAGATGGTACGCTATTCTTTGTATTGTCTGTCTTTTTGCTGCGTATTTATCACTAATTATAAGTTGGTCGCAGTCTTTCTTTTTTGTCTTTTTTTTTTTTGTTAGATAAATATTATAAGACAACAGAGTGGCAATTATGCTTCGTCATTTGGCGCTGTTATTTCATCTTTGATAACATTTATAGGTTGGCAAAATTCTCGTGGCAACTTGATTCCATTAATGGATTATAATCAAGAAGATTTAACGGGTGGTAATCTTAAATACACGAATAAATCATCGATTAAATATATATTTCGTTTTACTGCTCTTTTAAGTTTTATTTCAACATGTATGAATACACCAAAAACATTTGAATTTTATCCATTTTTACAATATACAACATTTATCATTGACGTAATTTGTGCAATTATATTAACCATTGAAGCAACTTTGATAATGAAAACTCGAGGAATACTTGTTAATGATTCATCTTATTTACGTAATCGATGGAAACAATTCGACGCAATAATGGTTTTATGCATTTATTTTTCTATAATCTTACAAGTAAAATTTTCTTTTTGATTAATTTTTAAATAATTTTTTCATTTCTAGATGTTCGAATTCATTGGTATTATAAAAGAATATTCATACTGGACGATAATTCGTTCACCACGTCCATTTATTCTTATAAATGTTCTTAAAACATTTCTTAGATTTAAACTACCTAAAAATCAGATTAGATCTATTGTTCAGTATGTTAATTGTATAAAACTATTATTAATTAATTAATTAATTCTTTTTTGATTGATTAATTTAGACGTTCAAGTTCACAAATTTATAATGTAACTGTATTTTTTCTATTCTTCATGAGTTTATATGCCATATTAGGTGTACAATTTTTTGGATCACTTACATTCCATTGTGTTAGAATTGGTACCGATTTAAAGTATGACAAAATCAATTTTTGTTTAAGATTTTTGATTTATTTTGTTATTATTTTTTTGTTATGTTAAGTAATGTGACAAAGTCAGATTTAATGATACCTGATACATATTGTTCGCCAACAACAGATGGTTTTCATTGTCCTGAATATTTTATTTGTCAAAAACTTGAAATTCCACGAAATTTACGTGGTTATAATGGTTTTGATGAATTAGCGACAAGTTTTTTTTCGGTTTATGAATCAGCTAGTCAAGAAGGTTGGGTATTTCTTATGTATCAAGCTATTGATAGTCTTCCATCATGGCGTGCATTTTTTTATTTTATTACATTAATTTTTTTTCTTGTATGGCTTGTCAAAGTAAGTTTTAAAATATTCAAAAATAATCATTATTTTTATTAGATTTAATATTCAACAAAATTTTATAAATAGAATTTTCTTTAAAAGAATAAAATTAGATTTTTGATAATTATTGAATGATAATTTACTTTGAACCGAATGGCAAAAGAAAGAATGTAGATTTGAGTAGAATAGTTTAGAAATATACACAATAAGTTTTCTAGTTAATTAAGATATGAAATACATAATTAGTATTGGTATGATAATAGATTATTTTTATGGTTCAAAAAAATAAATATTTTCAATAGTTCAGGACAAGTACAATAATTCGATTGTATTTTATTGTCTGAATATATTTGAAAACATTTGTAACGTTTAAATTAAAAAAAATTTTTTTTTTTTTTGGCCTAATAGTTTCATAAGTCAATTTTTAACCGATGAAAGGCAAAAGAGTCTCTATAAAAATGAAATAAATTTTCGTTTCGATTAAGTTTTTCTTAAAAATTTCATATCATTTAATTATTTGAATTAGATCACAACACTACAGAATGTTTGAAAAAAGTTTATGCAAAGATCTTCTATATAATTCAAACAATTTAATGTCTTCTTTCATACTATGATACTATATACTATTAATTATTATTTTTTTTCATATAATCATTACTTGAAATACGTAAAAACTCTGCTGCTCGAAATATTTGTAAAATCAATGAAGAACGTTTATTTTTGAATTTCTTGATTTCTATTTTTATAGGTTTATCGATAAAACATTTCAATGAAAAAATCGATTCGCTATAAAAGATAAATTCTCTTGATTGGTTCGGTTTTATAACATTAGTATCTGAGTCATATAATCTTGAATATCTTCACACATTTATTGGATAAATTGTAGTGTGCATGACTGGATTAAAGGGTTTTCAGTCGTGCTTCGATGCGCTATTGATTATCTTAAATAGTAGATTAATTTTTAAAAAAATCAATTAAATCTCTCGAATTATATAAGAGATATTTGTGACACTTTGTATTAAAAACATCATCGAACTTATTGCTTTTATTAATTGTCTGCGATTACTAGACATACACGGAATCGAAGAATCTCAGGTTTGATGCATACCTACCATTGACCAAATTATATAAATGCCTAGGTTTCGTATTTATGGTTTCGGGAACGACTAAATTCAGAAAGTACGATCTCAGTGCATGCCTAAAGATTATGCAATAATTTGAGAA